ATTAGTTTCTATAAAAAGAGCAAATGTCTTTTAAAAAATTTTAGGAGAATATTTATCACGTAATATTTATGATAGCCTCAGTATTGTCAGTCAACCCCAATTCAATAGTACTCTACTCAATTGAGGTTTTAGACCAAATATCTTGAGAAGAAAACGTGAAACATCAGACCAGGAAAAATTGGAAACATCCTATTGATTCTAATATATAAATTTTATATCATTTTATAGTATGAATCTTCAATCAATTTAGAAATCTTAAGCATTTTTGTGTGGTTTTCAAGGTTGTATAAAGACTTTCTTCTTGCCTATAAACGTTGAAAAATACTATACTTAGAGTCACTATTGAAGACACATTTCTGAATTAGCATTTTCCTTTCCTTTTTACAGTCCTCAACAATTGGTGGCAAGCAATGGCCCAAAACATTCACAACTACAGCTACAAAATTTCACTTATTCTCTCCCAATAAGAAAACTATGTTAAAAGTGGAGAATACATGTTTGTTATTAGGTAGAAAATTACTGTGCTACCCTCTAATCAATTCCTGCAGAAATTTAGAAACTCAGTCTTTTCCTATTTTCAGACAACAGTCCAGATACTGGATGTTTTCTAAGAGTGAATCATAAAAGAATTCTGCAGAGAATTATTTTTCATTTAAATTATTGAAAGTTACATTGATAACTTTAAATATAATACATATTATATTTTATACTAAGATAATATAAATTATTATAATAGAAATTATATAAAGAATTAGGAATTAATGAGTTATTTTATAAGCAGAAAGGGTAAAGAAAGGAAAATTAGAAATTCAATATGTGTCTGATAAAAGGATGAGAGAATTATTGACAAGTTTTGACTGTGTCTAGGCAAATAACCCTAGTAAACTGACACAGATAAAAATATATGAACTAAAAAGGCTTGCAGTCTGGGATGATTTAAAATTTGATGTAGGCATTGGAAAAAAGTAAATACTGACTGGTACTAACTAGACAGTGGATACTGTGTTGCGCAGAGCCAGGGAACACAATTTTTAGTGTATGTAATGTGAATGTCCCTCCCTGGAGCTGTGCAGTGTGGCATCCCTGTGGCTAATGTTTGCATGCTACTTACTATTTACCTAGCACTGTTCTGATCAATTAACTTGTATTAATTTATAGCTGATGAATCTAAGATGGGGAATTGGAGCTGGAATTAAGGAGACAATATAAGTCCTGGGATTTGGATGATCACATAATGGAACAAGTCAGGAGTGTCTATGGTCAGCATTCTAGTTAGTAATCAGAGGGTTTTAATGGAGATACGTACATATATATATGTGTGTATATATATTTAATTAATTCCAAAAAAATATATATACACATATATATACACACATATATATATTTTTTTATCCTCACCTGAAGACATTTTCCATTTTTTGTTCAGATAGAGTGGGAAGGAGAAAGAGAGAGAGAGAAACATTGACGTGAAAGGAACACATTGCGTGGCTGCCACCCACACGACCAACCAGGGCCAGGGACAAATTGCAACCGAGATACGTGCCCCTAGTGGGAACCGAACCCAGGTCTCTCTGGACCGCAGGCCGACGCTCTAACCGCTGAGCCAAACTGGCCAGGGCTAATTCCAAAATATTTTAAATAGTGTAGAAAAAAATCCACCCCACATTTCTGCTATATCAACATATTATTATTATTATTATTTTTTATTCTCACCCGAGGACATTTTTCCGTTTTTTGTTCAGGTAGAGTGGGAGGGAGAGAGAGGAACAGAGAGAGAGAGAGAAACGTCGATGTGAAAGGAACACATCGAGTGGCTGCCACCCGCACAACCGACCAGGGCCGGGGACAAACTGCAACCGAGGTACATGCCCTTAGCGGGAACCGAACCCGGGTCTCTCAGGACCGCAGGCCGACGCTCTAACCGCTGAGCCAAACCGGCCAGGGCTCAACATATTATTTTTACTTGCCTATCTTCCCTTCTATTTTTTGTTCATGTTCACATTACTCTAAGCATGTTTGATAGGTTGAATTTTTATTCTAATTTTTAAAATTTAACTTTGATGAAGAAGTCTTTCATATTTTGGTTTATATATTGACATTGTCTGAAGCCTCTGACTTACATAGTGGTTTTTCCTGTGTCTTATGACTGGTTCCTAATCCTGACCCCTTGTGCTTGGCCAGTTTTGTGGCTACCAGCCCATGTCTGTACCTAAAGAGACTTATTTTTGTACACAATATATTCTTGTAAATACTCAGAACACTTGAATGTGAAGGAACTGAACCATACATGTTTTCAATGTCCCAGAGTGTATAAAATTATTATAAAAATAAGTTTTAAAGTATAAAATTATTTTAAATCATATAGACTTGACATGATCTTGGATGATACAGTTTTAATATTTCATAGTCGTCTTTATTTTTGTTCTTTCGTAGTCAGACATACAACTGATTGACTTAAAGTCCAGTGAACATTTCTTTGAGGCTAATGATTGTTTCTATCTTTATACCAATTAAATAAATTTATGAGACCTACATTTCTTATGAGTTTTAGCACTGTTATTTTTTTATTTTCCTGTCATGTTTACAAAATAAGGGGAAATGAAGTGTAAAATACAATGGTGTATAAGCTGCTAAACAAAGATTGTGATATTGGCTGGCAGGCAGCATCAGTTCAGAGCTCAAGGTGTTTGTCAGCTGATGTTCAAAAGTCCCAACTCTATAATGTGATTTAAAGGAAATCAGATTACATATGAATGTCTAATGTATTTTTTATTATAGCCATCCTAGTGGGTGTGAGGTGGTATCTGTTTTTGTTTTTTTAAGTAAAAGCATTATTGAGTTGTGATTTATCCTTTTGTAGTACACAGTTTCAGTGGTTTTTAAATATTTTCACAGAGATGAGCAATGATCACCACAAATGTTTGGAGAACATTTTCATTACTCCCCCCCCAAAAAAAAGACCCTATACCTATTAACTAATCTACTTTTTGTTTGCATGGAATGTCCTATTCCAGATATTTCATATAAATGGAATCATACAATATGTGGTCTTTTGTGTCTGATTCTTTTCACTTAGCATAATGTTTTCAAGATTTGTAGCATGTATTGCCAGCACTTGATTCTTTTTTCTTATCGACTAATATGCCATTAGATGGACATACCACATATTGTTTAGTCATCAGTTGTTAGACACATGGGCTATTCTCACTTTTTGGCTATTATGAATAATTCTGTAACAAACATTGTTTTCATTTCTCCTGTGTATATGCTTAGGAGTGGAATTGTTGGTCATATGGTAGCTCTGTGTTTAGTCATTTAAGGAACTGCCAAATTGTTGTTTTCCATATGGCTGCACCATGTTACAATCCCAACCATGTATGAGGGTGACACTTTTCTACTTTCTCCCCAACTCTTACTGTTGTCTTTTTTATTTTAGCCATCTAGTATGTGTAAAGTGATACCTTATTGTGGTTTTGATTTGCATTTTCCTACTGACTAATGATGGTGAACATCTTTTCTTTTTTTTTTTTTTTTTTTTTTTTTTTTTTTGTTAGGACACCAAGTTTTCTTTAATTATTTTTTTGGGGGAAGGGACATCATACTTCGGCTCAATTATGAGAAAATTTTTTCATCAGTACAGAGGCCTTCTTTTTACACTTATCATGCCATGAATTCATAGGGGATGGGTTCCAGCAGCTCTGGCTCCTTTCCATTGGTTCTCACAAAATGTGCTTCTCTGGGTGGAGCAGGCTGACGCTTCAGCTGAACCCAGGTCCCCTTCTCTTTGGCTTCCTTCTTTTTCTGATCATTTTCCTTCACACGTTTCAGGAAGCTATCTCGGCTCTTAGAATGCTTAATATGCTCAATACGCACATTAATTCTCTTGGCAAGAATCTTGCCCTTGACTTGTTTGTTCACAACAATGCCCACTGCATGCTGGGTGACATTGTAGACTCTTCCAGTTTTGCCATGGTAACATTTGTGGGGCATTCCTTTTTGAACAGTGCCCATTCCCTTTATGTCCACAATATCACCTTTCTTATAGATTCGCATGTACGTAGCCAAAGGAACAACTCCATGTTTTCTAAAAGGCCTAGAGAACATATAGCGGGTGCCTCTCCTCTTTCCCTTTGTGTTCGTCATTTTGGCGAATTACTGGAAGATGGAGGTTCCGGCCGAAAAGCTGATGGTGAACATCTTTTCATGTGCTTGTTGGCTATTTGTATATCTTCACTGGAGAAAAATGTATTCAAATGCTTCCCTCATTTTGAATTGGGTTGTTTGTCTTTATATCAGTGAGTTGTAAGAGTTCTGCATGTTCAGGATACAAGACCTTTATCAGTTATATGATTCACAGACATTTTCTCCCATTCTGTGGTTTGTCTTTTTTGCTTTCTTGATGGTGTCCTTTGAAACACAAATGGTTTTAATTTTGATAAAGTCCAATTTACCTACTTACTATTTTTTCTTTGTTTGCTTGTGTTTTGGTATTACATTTAAGAAGCCATTGCTTAATCCAAGGTCTCCAAGATTTATACCTAAACTTCCTCCTAAGAATTTTATAATTTTAGCTCTTACATTTCAGGTTTTTAAAATTTGTTTTGATTTACTTTTTGCATATGGTCTGGGATAGGTGTCCAAATTCCTTATTCTGCCTGTGGATGTCCATTTGCTCCATCACCACTTGTTGAAAGGATGATTTTTTTCCACATTGAATGGTTTTGGCCTTCTTGTCAAAAATCAATCGACCATAAATGTAAGGCTTTATTTCTGACTCTCAATTCTATTCCATTTATATGTCTATCCTTATGCCAGGACCACACTATCTTGATTACTACAGATTTACAGTAAATTTTGAAATTAGGAAGTGTGTGTCATCCAACTTTGTTCTTTATCAAAATAATTTTGACTAATTCCAAATCTCTTGTATTTTAATATGAATTTTAGGTTCAGCTTGTCAATTTCTGCAAAATTTTTCATTAAAAATTTTTTTTATTTTGGGGTATTTCTTTCTAGTGAGTTGACAGTTACATTCCTACGTTCCGCAGAGCCAGCAGGCCGCAGGAGGACATTTCTTTAGGTGCCTGCGTGAGACCGGCAGCTTCAGCACACTGCTGGCCTTGATCCGGGGCCAGTCCGTCCTTATTTTTAAAACATAAAGTGTTATTGAATTTTTATATAGTGTAAAACTGGTCCCAAACACCAAAGAAACGTGTGGAAAGGTATAAAACATGCCAACCATAGGTCTTACAGCAATGGTCATAGTCTATAAGAACATATCAAATTAGTACATTACATTGTACCATAGCATCAACTAGAACAAGTACTTCAAAAGTAAGACTTTACATAGTCACTTAATAGGACCAGTTTGGAAAAAAATATGAGTCTTTATATATAGAGAAAAAGCAGTATTTCTCTGTGAAGCTCCGTTGTTACACGTCGGAGGTGGCATTCATGCACTGGCTGAATGTAGAGTCAGACTGGCTCTGTTCAGACAGTGACTTGAGCACTTACTAGTTACATGGCTTTGAAAGAGTCACTTAACCTCATCTATAAAATACAGATAATTGCAACCATCGCATTGAGCTATTGTGAGGGTTTAGTGAGAAAACATGTAAAAACACTTAGAAAAATGCCGGGCACATTGTGAGTATTCGGTAAGTGGTAGCCTTTAACACTGTTGTCAAGATTTCATTCATCTCTGTCTTAAGATTTGAAAAGACTTTAAGGGTATGTTTGCTTTGTTTTAAACTGGTATTAGAGAACAAGAATTAGAAAAGAAAAGGAAGAAACAAACCCCCCAGAATCTCTTAATTCCATTTCAATACTGAATGTCTGTAAGGCTCTATAAAATACATTGAGATAAAAAACTGACACCGCTCTCGGTGAGCAGAGAAATTTACTTAAGGGCGGAAAAATACACACCCTGTCGTGCTTGGGAGGGGAAGAGAAAACTTACTCCAGTATATGTTCTACAAAATAAAATTCTATTTTGTTTCCAAAGAGAGTTCCCATCTGTTAATGGGGGTTAGGGTAGTCTTCATGGAGGGGGTGGCATTTGAGATGAATCCTACAAGTACGGTATAATTTATATGTAGGCAGGGATGAGGGAAGTATTTGGGCTAATAAGGAAATAGTACAGAGACCCAGAGACAGGGTCCATGCACATGTTTTCCAAACGAAAGTGGGGTAGGGGTGGAGGGCTGCCCCGCAGGGTGTCTTGGAAGTGCACGTGCTTGCTCTGGTGGTTCTCCCGACTGGCTAGGGAGCACCGCTGGCATTGAATAAGGGGGTGATGATAAACACCCTGCAATAATGTGGATAGAAGAATGAGTAATAAGGATGAAACGTATGTCATTTATTACTGAAGGCCTGGGTGTCAGGCTGAAATTTATACTTTTAGGTAGATAGAAGCCTGGGAGAGAGACACAGGAGGAATGATGCTATGACGGAAGAAACGGCATCGGAGTCAGAAGAACTGGGCTTTAGTGATAACATTTTAAAATATGAAGATTTAAAATTGGAAGATGATTTCTCAAGCCCTACCCTTAGAGTCTGATTTACATAGATGTATGGAATTGTATGGAGTCTATGGATGAACTTAGTGAATTTAGATGGGACTGAGGAATGGTCATTTAATGGAGAGGTTTCTTACCCTGGTGAACCAATGAATAGAATTCAAGGGTGCGTGAACTTGAATGCGAAAAAAATCACATCTTTATTTTCACTAATATCTAACTGAAACAAGGTATTTCCTTCCACAAATAATGCAAACAACATAGTACTACCAGCAGTACCTAGGATTTTGTCATTAATAGAAATCATATATACTTTTATATCATAGTTAATGCAGTTATCTTAAAATATGTACACTGCTTTGAAATTATGGAACTTGCTGCTAGCACTTATTAATGTACTCATACAGAGGCAAATAGATTACTATATATTACACACTTAAAAACATGTAAATAATGGTTCTCTTTGTAACCATAGGCATTTTACTTACATTTAAATATATTTTACTGGGAATGGGCCTATAGACCTTACCAGACCACCAGAGGATTTAAAATGAGGAAGTGGGGGAAAGAGCATGATTGAAGGTTGTGAGGAGGATAGGCAAGACAGATGTTCAGGCTGACATTAGGAGTTGCAGCATTTTGAGTGTTGGAAGTAGATGGTATGAGCATCAGTAGGACAGGGTGTAAAACGATAAAGCCAGCACGTGGAAGTGGGCTTGCAAAGCTATCCCTCCGAATCAGAGGGGCCAGTGGAAGGGGTCTCTTTGCTGATTGAGTTTAGGAGAAAATTAGTATTGTCAGGAAAAGGAAAAGTTTGAGTCAACGTGAAGAGAGAGAGGATTAGTGATTGCAATGATAATACCAATGACAACAACTGCTATTTATTGGGCACTTACTAAGTATTTAACAAATACGTATTATTTAGTTTAAGCTTCATGAAAGCTCTTGGGGAAATAGGTATTTTTATTGTTTCCATCTTACAGATGAAGAAACTGAGGGTCAGATATGGTAAGATAACTTGTGGAGTTAGCACAGTTGGTAATTTGCAGATCTGGGATCTAAACCTCTCCTGACCCCAAAGCCTGTTGAGGCCCTTCCTGCGTCATGTTGCCTTGAAGGTTCTAACAGCACCTGGAGTGGAGGAGGACTGGGCTGTGTGGGGATGAAGGCAGGGAGACCGTGGAAGGGACGTCTGTGACAATGTGGCCACATTTTGGAAAGCCAGGCTTAAAGACACAGGCAGTTTGGGTGGTAGGCTGGAGAGGCTGAAGAAGGGATGAGATGGCACAGATTTACTTCTGTTTTACTGGCGTTGAGAATCAGGTTCCCTTTGTTTCGGAAAGTTCTGGATAGATGGGAAGTTTATGTAAGACGCTCCTTTTCTCTCTTCCCTCTGCAGAGTACATCCTGCCCCCACTGGGGTGAAGAGTCTGATCTTAGCAGCCTCATGAGGCAACATTTCGAGCTTTCTCTTCTATGCCTGGCCTTCAGACCCCCATTTTCCAGAGACTGCAATTGAGAAAGACCCTTTGTTGCTGTACAATAGGGGGGAAACTCCCAGTGCTATAAAACAGACCGAGGACTTTGCAAAATATAGCAAGTTCATGTCTGCTAATATGTTAAGTTATTTGGCCTCCCTAGTGTAAGTAGTGATTTGTTGTTTTCATGCTAATACAAATTCTTGTATTAATAGGAGCATGGCCCTGGGTTTCTTCATCCGCCTGGGAAAAAATTACTTGTTTGATGGTAAACAAAGAACAGAAGAATTGATTCACTGTCCTCGTTTTTTAAAAAAAAGATGGTATGAAGCAATAGTGGAATAATTTTAATTGTAACCTTCTAACACTTGCGATCAGTAAGATCATTTGTGTTCTGTTTTTAGGAGACGGAGTATTAAAGAGTACATAGTGCATTAGAAATGCACAACATGACCGCTTGTCCTCAGGATTCTGCCATGAAAGGGCGCTTGTCCCGGGATGCCCAGCTCTGAGGGTATTCTGTGTTCAGTGTGTATTTACAGAGATGTATGAATATTTGATTAATGAGTCATGGTCTCTGGAGAAATGTAATAACTGTATTGCCGTACAAAGCCAGGCCCTTGACTGTTAGCACAGCTGCCAATAGTGTCACGGACACTGCAGCCCTTTCTCAATCTAATAGATTCTATGGAGTCAATTCCTTGCTCAGAAGGGATCCGTGAGAGACATTATTCAGTTGTCTGTTTTGAACTTGACTCAGTTTAGAGGCTCTGATCTATCAAGATCTTTTTTCAGTGAAAACAAGCGATGATATGGAAAACTTAAAAATGATTTTTAAAAAAATGATTACTTTCCCCAGAAATTAGTTGAAAAATCATTGGTAAATAAAAAGCAGTTGATTATCCTCGTCAAGATTTTCTGTTAGGGACTCACTAATAATTTTTGTCTTATCGAATATGAAATATCCACAAGAAATATGAGCTATATTTGTGATTTCGATTTCACATCTATTTGAATGCCATCATCTAAATTCATTATTAAATATAATTTAATTTTCAGGAATTATTGAAGGCTAATTTATCACTTCATCTATTTTTTTTTTGTTTTGTTTTGTTTTTCATATCTATGGAGAAATCAATTCTAACTTTCAAAGTTAGGTAGGTATTTCCGTAATGTTACCTCTTTTAACTGCTTGAGTAACAGGGAGAAATGTCAAAAAAAGATAAATTTAGTGCAGGAGTTTTGCTGGAAGCTGTAACTGCAGGTGAGAATTATCCACGCTATGCAGAATTTCCTGCAACACTTCTCCTTAGGGCCACAATGCATTACAGCAGACGTATAATGAAGCTGCTATAAAATCTCTGGTAATTAAGGGGGATTTGACAGTAATTGCAACAGTGAATCAACTTAATTATTACCTGCTTCAAAGAGAGCTAACCTGATGTTATAATCTAACCTTTTCTACTTTTAAAATGGGAGATTAAACAAGTATATGTAGCATTTAAGAATTAAATCTGTTGAGATAGAATTGTATTAATATACTTCGAATATACATGTTATGCACATGCACTCATCAAACTTCTCAAGAAGAACAAGGATTGGGCTTGCTGTGATCCATTAAAGTTATTGGTATGCTCTGGAAATTGAACCAAACCCACATTTCTGATTCCAGTCAGCTTCTCCTCAAGACACACATAGACCTTGATGGTGGGTTACCTGACTTCCACAGCATAAAGAAGGATACTTTCTTAACATTAGCATGCAAAGGAAAGACATGCCAAAAATATTATCATTGTTTATATTTAAATAGAATAGGTCTTCTATTGAAATCTCATCAAAAGCTGCAAGTTGATATGAAGGTGAAGGTTTAGACTCATCTGAGAGCTTTTATATGATTTGGTATAGCTAACCCTGGACACAAAGAACAAGATACCCAAGTTCCGTCTGTGGTAATGTTTCTCATATGCTGTCCCCTCCCATGTCCTGCTGCCGGCGAGCTCCCTTTCCACGGGAGTGGGGTGGACAAGGATGGAAGTACCAGTGTGGTTTTGCCGAGTCCGTGAGGCAACAGGGACCCAGAACATTTAATCTCAGGTTTCTTATTTATGGTTTGGCCCCTCTTAGGCAGATTTCCCAAAC